AATCAACGGCCAAGACTTCCCAACAAGCTGGGAGTTCCATAAATGTTGGATGGTTGCTTTCAATATATCAAAAAATACCCTCTGGTAATTTAACATAGCTATTGAACATGGCCATTTATAGTGGATTTTCCCATTAATAGCATGGTGATTTTCCATAGTTATGTTAATTTACCAGAGGGTACCCCCCCAAAAAAAAGGAAAAAAACTACACATCCAATGGTTGATGGCCATTCGCTCCCATGTGGCTCCACGGATGGCTCCCACCTCGTTGGGCTCGAGCTCGGAGGAGGGGCAAGGAACTCAAGGTCTCTTCCAAAACGTCGTCGAAGGGTGGATCGGAGTCCTAGGAATGAGAGTGAGTGTTTATCCTTAATGTTCATGTACATATGCATATATACAGATATATATATATATGTGTGTGTGTGTGTGTCTGTGTACATCTAAGTCTATATCTAGATCTAGATCTAGATATTATCATAATATATATATATATTATATATACATGAATGTATACATCATCAACAACAACAACAACAAGAACAAGAACAAGAACAACACTTTCACCATCAGCATAATCATGACCATTATCGTTTTTGATCAAGATCACCAATTTGATAAGAGTAATTGTATAACCATATATAGATTCAAATATCAATGTCCGATACAGTAATACTACGAATCAACATAGTCAATCATCACATTAACTATCATCATTATTGTTTGTTTCCTGAACAGAATCAACACTGACAATGCTTGAATGAATCTGAAACCATTTTGGCAAATAGAATACGGACATGTTAGAAAATGTAGAAAATCCAATCCTGGGTTGTGAAAATGATTGAACCTCCAAATGCAAAATTTTCAACGGACTGAAGCTGGGTGTGGAAGTCCTCAAATTCCGCAAGCGCACAGCGACCATCCCCTTCCATTGGTGATTCCAAGCCAAAACTCTCAGTTGCTCGTAGCTCCGTTGATAGGGAATACTTGGTGGCTCATCCCACTGCTCGTAAGTGGGTTAGTTCACCCCAGTTATAAGTGGATTAACCCTACTTATCCCATGTAAATCACTGGGGTTATAATAATCACTTACGATTCGTGGGTAGTTCGCCACCAAGTAGGGACACCCCTAGCTGCCTAGCTCCACCACCGGATCCAAGACTCCACCACTATGCCAAAGTTCAGGGTTGCATTGATCAAACAGGGCCTTGTGCAGAAGGGCGCCCCCGCCTGCATTGTGCATGGCGGCGCCTCTCCCTTCAGGGTCTTCAGGCACTTCTCCTGATTATGGCCACGGATTTTCAGAAAGAGGGGCTAAACTCTCAAAAGAAAACTGCTGTGCATTAAGACCCTACAATACATCATGGGGGTCATGGGATACAGGAGGGATTCGAGATTTTCCTTTCTACGCTGAAAATGGAGCTTACTAATTGTAGGGGGATTGGTTGTATATGATCTCAATATCTCCCATCCCAATCATCCCAATCATCCCATGATACAAAACGGCTGGCTTTTCTTGGGATCCACAGCGTCTTTTCTCCGTCTCCCCGGTCAATTTACAACCGACCTTCACCAGGGGCGGATCTTCACCATCGAAGAAGGTGTCCAAATAATCTTCCAAAGTGGCAGAGTATCCACCTGCGACAGGGATTTTCCCACCAGGCCTGATGTGGGGTTACCATCTGGTAAACCAACATAACTATGGAAAATCACCATGTTTAATGGGAAAACTCACTATAAATTGCCATTTTCAATAGCTATGTTAAATTTGAGGGTAATTCATACCCTCTGGGTGTCATCAGCTCCATAGCTGGGAAATCCCCGAACGAGTCATCGGCATCTGTGTATGTGGGAAATGGCATGGGGGAAATCATCGAACTCAACGAGGAATTGTCGCCGTTTCACTAGCGGACATGTTTTTTTACAGCGATAAACTTCTATGATCTTCTATGGGCATCGAACCTCACTGGCCAGAAAATGTGGATGTCCACATTTCTAGATTAGATTAACTGAGGGGAAAAGCGATCTGAAGAGGGTCCTGACCAACAAAGCCAGCAACTTGAGTCTTCAAAAACAAAAAGACCATTGGATTCTGCCATGAAAAACTAAACGTCCTGGGTTGGGGTAATTAGTCCGGTTTTTGGATGCCCCTTTCTTGCCAGTCATTCTGATATGCCAATGACTCTTGACCGCAAATGCTTGCTGTATATTTAAGCAAAAAGCCCACTTGATCCCTCGCCGTAGCCCACTTGATCCCTCGCCGTATTCGTGACAGTCTGTTTACCATTCCCTGAAAGACTCACAAGCCAGACTATCAAATCACTCAACCGCCTCTCACAGTATCTTGGTGCTGCTATTGCATGTTCATCCAATACCGTATACAAACATGTATATACAGGAACACTCAGAGAGGTTGCTTATTCTTACATTTGAGAAATATCCCATATCCCTGTTTTGGAAAACATCCAACTTGGTCAGGGGCCCCCTTGGCTGTGGTCTTGCCCACTGAAGAATGAGACAACCGCTGGAATTGGCCCGTTTCGGGTCGAAATCGACAACTTCATCTCTCCAGCGAATCCAACCAGAAAATCGAATTCATCTCCTATTTGTTGGGTTGAGATCTAGATGTGTTGTCTGTATAATTACATACATATCCCATTCTTTTTGGTTTTAGCGCTTTGGAAACTATATGATACGTGAAGAAATTGAATGATGGTTCATATGCCCTATTGAATCCTGCTTGAATCCCTATGTGTTGATGTTTATACCCAATTGGATGGTTATATTATATGTTTCCAATCTATTGATAGTGTGTTTCTGAAAGAAAAAATATGGGATCTCCCATCATTTTTTTAACGGTCACGATTTGGGTCTGAGAATAGGGTATCCCAAATTTGATGATATAGAACCTAGATACCCAGTTTCAATAGGCATAAGACACGCGGGTAGATCCCCAGTTTCAGACACAATCATCATATGATTGGTTATATATCTCACTATATCCTAATTTTGTCACGATTTTCGGCAACAAGGTAAATGCCATGTTCCCCAGTTCAACCAGGCACCGTGCCACCTTCGATGCTGACATCCCCGAAGCGCTTCCGGAGGCATTCCGTGGACCAACAACTTCTCTCCCAGCCATGCATCGCGCTGCCGTTGCGGAAGACTAAAGGCACCCGGTCCCTGGCGGAGAAAGCCTGAAACCGAATCCCTGGGGGGATGGGATGAGTATTTTTCTTTAAAAAATGTTAAGTGTGCGTAGAAAAAAAAACTAGTGATGGTTGAAAAATGTTGGTTTTTGTTCAAACAATTTTGATTGGGGGTTCAGCAAATGTTTATATAGCACTACATCGTTAGAGTACTTTAAAGAATCAATCATGGTGTCCGGTAAACCTTCGTCCAGAAACTAAGCGACAGATAGATTGGTCTCGCCTTATATGGGTCTTGGATCAAAATTGGGTACATGTAAAATGCCAAAAGCTATGGCCGCTTGCTCCTATGATTCACCAATAGCTACATGGCCATGAAATTGGACAAAACTGGAATGTGGTAAAGCCAGTTAGAACATGTTAGAACCATGCCCCCTAGAAACTGCACCAGCAACAGCAGCAACAACAATAGCTAACCAACAGGGATCGGGAACCCTTGTGGCCGCTGTGAAAAAAAATGTCTCTACTTTTTGATCCAAGGCTAAGGATTCCGGGGTGTTACGCTCTGGTAATTTAACATAGCCATTGAAAATGGATGAACATCCTGTTGAGTTCAAGAGTTCGATGGTTTACTTCTTTTATTCATGGTGATTTTCCAGTTCGCAAACTGTGGAATGGCCAGAGGAATGTTGAAAAAGAAGTTGAATCATTGCCAGACTGCCACGTGTTTCCCAAGGCTTTCACAGCTGCTCATCGTTCTACTTCCAAGTCCAAGGAAGCCAAGAAAAAACACATCACCAACAAGTGGACTGGACAGTTCCACAACTACAACTATCTCAAGACTCAAAATCCTGACTTTTTTGGGGATATGTATGGACAAAAAACGCTATCAACAGGAGTTCACATCCATAGTTGTGATATGTTTTGATACGGGAATCAAGATTCGCCTTTAATTTTACTCATCCCTTTGAAAGATATTAACACAGACACCCTGAATCAAAACCCTTGCAGAATGTATTGGATCTATTCATGAGGCTTTCCTCAATATCAGCACAGAGGATTCAAATTCCACCTCTAACTCCCATAGTGTTGGGTTCTTTTTTTCCGGCTATGAGTCAAAACCCTGGTACCCCAAGTCATAGAATAGTCATAGCTGGTATTTGGATCTATGATGTCATATAGCAATTGATGCCATAAAATACTATGTCTAATAGTCATTGATGCATAGCTGGTATGATGCTTCTATGATGGTGGATCTATGATGTCATAGCAATGTCTAACAGTCATTGATGGTTCTTCCCCCATATGGCAATGCTTCTGACCCATTTCTGACCCATCTGTTCCTGTGGTGCGCGTCCAGCAGCTCCACCGCGTCCTCGTTGGAGCCGGGACTCACCTCCCGAAGCGCAGCGAAACGCCGCGTCGCGGCCTCCGGACCCACGGTGAAGCACTGCGTGCGGAAGACCTGGAAGGACCCCATGGGGGCCGGTGACCCACCAGTTGAACTGGTCTAAGAATTGGGTATATTTGGGGATGGCAACAAAAAGCATCAAAATGGTGATGACTTGATGACTCTTGATGACTTGGGGATGGTTTATGATATCTTATGATTGGGTAAACACCACATTACCGTCGGCGAAGATTGGCGATACATGATAGAACTGAGAAGCAATGAGAAGCATTCTGGCAACTCCGTAGAGCCGCCATCTGTGAGGCAGAAGTCCACTAAGCATCACTAAGCCACAATAACGGCTCAGAAGGAAAACAAGGGCCGCTGAGCCAGCTGGCATGCCACCAAAAAAAAAACCTGGCAAGGCGCCGCTCCCTTAAGGAGAGGTACCGAGTGCTAAGCAGGGACCAGGAAAAAAAAAGTGGGAGAAGCACAGAAGCTGGGAGCCAACCCCAGAGACAAAAAAAGGGGGGGATGCATTGGTAAAGGAGATTGGCAACTTAAGGCGTCCTAAGGATCAGCCAAAGCAGCCCCTCAAGGTGCACCCCAGCAGCAATGAGAAGCAACTGGTTTTTGGATCGTGCTGTTCGTGCTTAGATCACCAGTTCTTGCCCACCAGCACCAGATCATCAGAATTTCTGGCTTAGCCTGGTAGTAGACTCCAGCAACCAGCGCAGGGACGAGTGTGAGCAACGCCATGGCCATGGGGAATCCATGGTTCTCGATGTGTGATGCGAACATCTGCTGATTGCAAATATCAAAGCATAGAAATGCGATCTACAAAGGCATCATTCACATTTATAGATACAGAATGATACAGAGATGCATTCATGTTGTATCTCAGACATCTCATATGTCATGCCTGTTTTTGTAGACATATTGTCTAGTCGTCTGGATCCTAGACATCTGGGTATCTTATGAAGAGATGTTTTTTTGGTGGACCACCCGCCCACATGGATCAAGTGGCTCAGGACCTGGAAAAGAAAACAGCACTAGCCTATTCCCTCCATCTCCCTCCCCTACTCTGGATGCTTGCGAAATCCTGCACCACGATGGTTGAAACCCTATAAATCATGGGATAAACCACCTATCAACTGGTGCAGGATTTCTTCCATCCACAGTATCTATGAATTTGGCCCCAAGGTTTCCCAACTGAGCCCTGGATGACACGCGATGCGACTCTGCCTCGGGTGTTTTTTCAAGCCAGTGGAAAACCCCACCAATTTATGCGGATGTAATGGGAATAATGGGATTTTATGGGGATATATTGGCATATAATTGGGATATAGTGGGATAAAATGGGATCATCAACAAATGTGGCAATCAATGGATTGGTTCATGGGGATATACTGGAATATGTTTCGTTTGTGGGATATAGCGGCAGAACCAACACTATCATTATGTTTCTTTGACCAACTATATTTTTGGCTGATAGAACTCTTGAATCTGGCCGCCCCTGTCAGCAAACTCCATATTTTTATGGTGGACCCAAAAATAATCAAAAATATCTCCAAGAATATGATTATTTCTGACTAAAAATGATACTTTATCATACCAAATTTGGTTCAAGTTGTTTTGTTTGGCCTCCACTTTAAGATGGGTTTGAGTACCCCAGTGACCGCAGGTTACCAAAATACGACTGAGCGCCCCTTGCATATGGAGCGCGCGCCTCTGGTGCACGCGCCGCGGCCCACCTTAGCTCTGGTTAATGTGGGTAAAACAATGCCATAAACCACCCATTTGGGAAATGGTTTATAATGGTTTATACCACCTATAAAAATGGTGATTTGGTGATATATAAGGGAATGTACAATGGGATATGAATGGAATATGAATGGAATATTGGGTCTAACGTCTGCTAGTTTGCGGACTGGAAAATCGCCATGTCTAGTAGGTAAATTGAGAGGCCAGCATTTCTGGCAATTTATGTATTGTGAATGAGCCTCATTATTATGACCCAGAATAGCTGCTTCCATGTTGCATAAGTAGATATGTTTGAGTTTGGACAACTTATTTAGTTGAATCAAGCTGGTACATTTAGTTCGGAATATTTGATTGACCCACTTGAATCCTCTTGTTCCACTGCACTACGATCATGACAGTTGACATGATGTTATGACCCAGCATGCCGACCCACTGTACAATTTGGCATCAGGATCATATGATGATATCATAACCCACATTATAGCAGCATGATATCATATTATGTTCATAATATAGTACCATTCTATCCATGCTATTTTAGTGTTATTGGGATGGATGGTTTTGTCATATGTATCCCGCATGCCACTAACAGTTAAACTTCTAGCAGGGGAGCAACAAACCACCAAGTATAACCCATCATCCAAGTATATATCCTTTGGGAATTTAACATAGCTATAGAAGCCATGGCCCATTTGGTTCAATGATGTTTGGGTTGTTCTTCGAATCGGGGCCAAGTCTTTCTTCAGCTATCCCAAAGAGGCCGTAGGCCCAAAAAAACCAAAAATGGTGGCTGATCAAACTGATCGGTCCTCTGGGAAAGTGATGGAAAATATCGGGGAACAAGCAAATCACCTACAGGGGATTGTCGGTGAAAGGGGTTGCATCCCAATTTTCGATAGATCCCGCTTGACTCTGGCTGGTTGAATCCCAATCTTTGACAGTTAAATCCAGAGTTTTTCTGGTTAAATGCCCAATCTTGGGTACTTAAAAACCACCCCAGGTTTGCTTTCTATATCTGCTTTGCGCAGGTCTCCTCTGTTTCCGTTTCCCTCGCACCTTGCAAAGTTTCCGTTTCCCTCGCACCTTGCAACTTTTCCTTCTCGGGGTTGTGCTCGGCTTGAGTTAGAAAAAGCAGCTACAGAAAATCGGCAAATGTGAAATCTGCAGCAAGTCAAAATGCCTGACAGGTATGGTCAAAATGGAATGCATTCTGCACTCCTCCCTTGGGATATCGTGAGGTCATCCCAAGATTCAGGCTCAAGCTGCTTCTATTGTGCAAATAAAAGGAAAAAGATCTAACCTGCGCTCTCACCACATCCTGGGCATGCTGGAAACATCTTTTCTGGATCGCAGCGTGGGCATCTTGAATCCACGTGATAATCTCCACCCCAGTGATCAATCCAAAGTGGAACTCCTGGTGGTGGGGGTCCACGCGTTTGAGCGGTAATGGCCCAGCAAATGCGACACCAGGCAGATTCTCGATTGGCTCCTGTCTGGACAGACGACAGGTACCTGCACTGGCTCTGATAGTGATAAACTCGGCCATACCGAGTGGTCAAAACTTGGAAAGCTGCTCTAGCTCTTTCCTCGCTGTTCTCATAGTTCTGGAATCTTTCTGGATTTCTCTGTGCTTCCTCGTAGAGGTTGGTTTCTTCATCTGCTATCTCCTGCATGACTCGATCCAAGTCGAACCCAGGGATGTGGCGCTCATCTAATGGACGATACGGAGTGTCCTCTGATGAAGAGGTTGAATCTTCAAGTGGCGAAGAAGACCCTTCGCCTGGTGGGAGGTACGTGGGTCGCTGTGACAGTTGTCCTGCCACAGCGGCCATCCCTTCACCACCATTTTCCTTTTCTTCTTCTTCTCTTTGAGCAGCAGCACCTGCAGGGAGACTTCGGGAAGACGATCCAGCTTGGTTTGACCAAGACATTTCCAGCCTCCTTACTCCTACCTTCCACAAATGCTGGCTCACGATCGTGAGAAGCACGATGATCAACGCAAAAACGACCATCATGACTTTGAGCTCGAGGGTTGAATTTTCCTGATCTTCTTTTTCTGTTTCTTCATGTTCTCCTTTGGCAGCTGAGATCGCAGCACCCAATGTGAGCAGCTTCAATGCTGCTGCTGCTTTCTGAATGCCTACGCCTTCTCCTTTTTCTTCAAAAACCTTCTCTTCTTTCTTCTCATGCTCTTTCGGTTGTGGTACTTGAACCAGGTTCATCTCCTTCTTCAAGTACCTGATTCTTTCTGAAGCTAATGGCTTGGTGCCAATGTCAGCGATCATTTGATTTCCCGCGACATGTTGAAGAAACCAGGTGCCCTGCAAGATTGAACTCCTGGCAGCTGATGCTCTCAGTCGCAAATGACGTGTGCGCCATGATCCTCCGTCAGTGGTCAAAATTGATTGGGCAGACTGAGAGTCTGTCCAAGATTTTCGCTGCAGAGGGCCAAACAGCTCATCAGCTATGGCACCAATTGATTCTCCAGCCACCATGCTCTCCACAATCTCCATCATCTCCGCTTCTGCTGTGCTGAGCGTCACAAAACTTTGACGACCACTTCGCCAAAAAACAGGGCAAGAAGCTACCATGATGATGAAGGCTCCGTGGCTGACATCTCCTTCAGGTGCAAAACTGGCGTCTGACATGGCCTCAATCATCAAGGTCTCTGCTCCAGCAGCATCAAAGCAGATGCCTTCATCCATAGTGCTTTTGAGATACCCCTTGATCTGCTGGTAGATCTGGAGGACCTTCTGAGGGGCCTTCGTGACGCGAGCCCATCTTTGAAACGGCATACATGAGGTCCAAGCGGGTGCGTGTCACCAGCCAGAGCATCTCACCGGTGGCTTTCTGAGCTGAACGAATCAGCTCTGGTGTTCTTCCTTCTTCCTCTGGAAGTTGACTCTGATCTTTTGTGATTGGGATCTTTCTGTCTGGAGCTTCTTGATCTTGCGCAAGAAGGTCCTTGATGTAGGACTGTTGGTTGACATACCAAACGTCGCGATTCTTGGTGACATCAAAGGTCTTTGAGATCTCGACGCCTAGGAATCGTATAGGCTTTTCTCCTACTTGATCTGGTTCTGAGGTGGTCCAGATAGTTCTGATCTTTTCCATGACGGCATCTACCACCTTTCGACTTCCAGTGACCAAGATGTCATCGACATATGTCATCAAGAGCCCTTTCAATGGCAGCGGAGCAAAGTTCGACTGAGTGTCAGACTCAGCTTCCCTCTCCTCAGCTTCAATCCTCCACAAGTTTGGCTCTGATGCCAGAGGGCAGAGTCGGAGTGATGTCATCTGACCTTCTTCCTCCTCCACTTCCAGTTTCATGACTTCCAATTCATCATCTCTGCAATCACCCCAGAGCTTTGGTGATCGGCGAAGTCCATAGACCGCGCGCTTGGGCATGTAGTATGTTCCTGGCTTCATGTACTTCTTTTCCAAAAGCAGCATAGGAGGTTTGACCAGCAACAAGCTTGGCTGGTCTTCAGGGCACATGGTGGCATTCAGGAAGGCTGTTTTGATGTCAATGGTCCCAGCCTCCCATTGGAATTTTGATGCCGCAACGATCAGAAGGCGCAGTGCAGAGGCATCTGCACCAGAGCTAAACGTGTTCTCTCCCTCTTTGACCTGCTCGAAGTTTCCACAGATGACCCATCGAATCTTGTTGCGGCCACCTCTTTTTCCTGGCTTCTTTGTGCAGACCAACTTTGATGGGAGAAACTCCACTGGTATGCCCCTTTTTTCTGCATCCTTCAAGAGCTCCTCCAACCTTTCTCCACTTACCTCCTCGAAGGCTTCCTTCTCTTCTAACAGTGACGTGACTTCAGCATCCACTGCCGGAAGCCAATCATTCCAGTTCTTTGAGACCTCAAGAAGGGAGATGATTTTCGTTTGGAGGACTTCATCATCTTCGCCCTTCTCTTGAGAGTCAAGCATCTTTTTGAGCTTGGCCAAGATGTCAATCTCTTCTGTGATCATTTCAGGAGAATCATCCAACATCGCCTTAGTCTCCTCCTCGACCATTCTTGTAAACCTGTTCCTCATCTTTGCCAATCTCACAGCCTCATCCTCACCTTCTTCTTTCTCCTCCATTTTCAACCTACGCACTGTAGTCTTTTCTCGAAGCCTTCGTCTTTTTGTGAGAGCATCCAAGACCTCCCTTTCGATGGCTAGCCACACTCCTTCTTCAGGTCGTTCTATGGCTTTCTGCATGTAGCATCGAGTGACTCTCGGTGCTTCATCGTTCACCTTGATCCAATGGCCATTGTCCTCGGGTGCAGGTCCGAGGTATCTTGCAACTTCCACCATAGGCTCAAACGCCTGTTTCTTCCACCTCCTCCTCCTCACCAAGACTTCTTGAAGAAAGCGGGGGAACTCTGGCTTCTTATCCAGCCTTTGGCACCTGTAGATCTCGTTCAGGTATCGAAGTGCCCAAGGCCACCATGAAGAGTCTACTCCTGCATGAAGTAGAATCCTTCTCAGCTGGTTTTTCACTGACTTGACCGTAACCTCAGCACGGCCGTTGGCCTTTGGATCATCGCCCGATGTTCTTGTCAAAAGAATGCCTCGAGACCTCATCCATGTTTCAAATGACCCAAGGAATTCGTGGCCTCTATCGCTGTGGATACGATTCACATGATATCCATCAATCTTCAGTTTGAGAACCATCTCCATCGCTACTCTTGTGACTTCCCTCGCCTTCTTTGACCTCAGAGGGAGCGCCATCTTGAAGACTCTGATTTCATAGTCTTTATCTTCGCTTTGAGGACCATCTTCTGCTTCTTGTTGACCATCTTGATCTTCATCTCCTCTTTCTTTCTCTTCTTCTCCTCCTGAATCTTCAAGACGGGACTCCTCAGGAAGTTCTGCACCTCTTGGCAAGAGGCCATCAGGAGGCTGTTCATCAGCTTCCTGATCATCACCTTCAGGCTCCTCGGCAAAAAGATCAAGCACTGGTGCCTCTTCAAGACCACCTTCTTCTTCGGGTTGACCTATCATCTTTTCTGTGCCCTTTGGAACCATGTATGTGTAAGCACCAGCCAAAAAATATCGACACTTCCAGCCACCAACATCGCTTGATGGTAAAAGAGGCCCACATGTGTCAAGAGCAAGAACTCCTGTTTGTGGATGTTTGTTTCGTCGATGAGGAAAGATCTGTTGGGAGGATTGCAGGCAAACAGGACAGTCACGGCGATATGGAACATGACCAAAAGCAACATGCTCTTCATAGGTGAGAGCCCTGAGTTGCGGTGTCCCCTTGAACACCTGAGTTATGACCGCTTCGCTGACAGCGTTCATCAGTCCAGGTGCCCATCTTTCCAACTGTTTTGAGCTTTCCACAGGTTGCGCAGGTAGAAGAGGACCCATCTTGTGATCCTCCAAGCACAAATCAAACGTAGTGCCCAAAGTGGTGGGTTTTGTTGCCATACCTCCAAGACATCCCTGATTGAAAGTGACCTCCTTCAACTGAAACTCCTTTCTCAAATCATGCCACTCAGTGGTGTCCCAAAACGACACAGCTGCAGGTTGATAAGTCTTTGGAGATGCAGGTTGTTCCAACGCAAAGTGAACAGGATCTGGTCGCAACTGTGCCTTGCGGACATACTCTGAAATCATGTACAAGAAAATCATTCGCCAAAGAAGAGTGTCATCTTCTTGAATCATCTTTTCTTCTTTCTTGTTGATCCAGTGTGCTCCAAATTCCCCTCCCTCCCAGCAACGCACTGGACGGGGGGCCCATGGTTGGCCTTCAATTGGTCGATGTCGGAGCACACTTCGACTTCTGCAGTTCGGGCCACCCAAGACAGCCAGAATCTTTCCTGAAAGCGCAGCTCGCAAGAGAGTGGCATAGATCCCTTCGTCAGCAAGCATGTCATACGCTTGCCCCTTCTTTACATCCACTTCCAAAAGCCTCCTTGTCTTACTGCCTTGACACCTCATAGATCGCTGAAGTGTGTGACCTGAGTCCTCTCCAGAGTACAAGTGCAGTGCAAATCCCTCAGTTTTCAACGTTCGTCGCTGACGTCGATTCAAAGGCAAAGATTCCCATTCTCCCGGCTGGACCACAAGCTTCTTTTGGAGCCAGTCAGGAAGACGAGACAAAACTGGGTGAGCTTGTAGAAGCCTTCTCATCCATCCAAGCTCTTCTTCTATGTCTAGGCGATTCAATGAGACGCCTTTGTTGCAGTCTTCGATCTCAGAGATTAGCTCCAATGCCAACTTCCTTGGAATCTGTGGACAACCTCCACAGTCTTCAACTGGTAAAAGACCTCGGATTGGATGTTGGACTTGAAGAGCTCCCTTCGACCACGACACCACACAGCCTAGGGCATCGATCAAAGAACCCATAGGCACAATCGGCTCAATGTTCTGGTCTGAGGTGATCATGGAGCCACCTGGGGACATGTGCAACTGAATGGACTTGCCATCTGCCAAAGTGACAGAAACTTCTTTCAACTTGTGGGTGTCCTCTTCTTCTCTTGATGGACGCAACGCATGAGTGGCCCCACTGTCAATGAGACCTCGACCCAGACCAGCGCCAATGCGCCCAAGCTTGAAGACCTTCAGGGAATTGAGCTGAGCCTGAAGGCGTGACAGCATTTCACTTCGGCTGTCTTCATCTCTGTTTGATGCCGAAGAGGAATTGGGAGATGAAGTCGAGTGAGATGTGAGTGATCTGAGCATCTTGTTGGCTTCTTCAATCAGCCCCTTCATCGTCTCAGACTCTTCCTTTGTCTCCTCACCTGTCTTTACTTCACCTGTCTTCACTCCTTCTTCAACTTTTGCGCCCTTCTGCTTCGGAGGCGATCCCTCACCTGTTCCCTTTCGTGGACATGCAGGAGCCAAGTGTTCTTCCGCACCACAGACGTAGCATCGCCTTTTTCCGTCTTTTCAGTGTGAGAGAACTTGCAATCACGGCCCTTTCTGCAGCCTTCTGGAGTCAGGTAGAACTTGCACTTGACAACCTTCTGACGTTCTCCTCTATCTTCTTCTGCTGTCTTCTCTCTACCTTTACCTTTTCCTTTTGCATCCTCCTTCTCATACTCCATCATCTTCACTTTCGGTTCAACCTTGGCGTTGTTGGGGACGGTCTTCTTCTCCATTTGCGACAACTGCTCGCACTCAGAGAGGAGGTGCATTGCAAACTGCGTCACACTCTCCAAGGTCGGCACCGTATCTATGCCTAACCCATGACGTGCAAGCGACACTCGAAATTGTAGTTCTCGATTTGTTTCCAAAACCTTCTTTGTCATCCTCAAAAGCCCACGAACAAGAAGAGCAGGATCAGGCGTGATCGCTCCGATTTCGGTGGCCCTCTGACGCCACCTGATCCACTTTCTCAAAGCCATTGGAGCATCTCCCAATGTTTGGACTTCCGCAGGATCCTCAAGGTTTTTCAGGAGGTTCTGTTTTTCGGAGATACCACCTGGACAGTAGATCACATAGAGGTGTGTGATGATGGAGAACACACTCATCCTTCTGGTGGACACAAGCTCTTCACGAACTTGTTCAGGCATCGCTTGAAGCATCATCGTGGACATGCGTCGCTCCAATCGCTGCCATTTTTCCTGTGTCAAAGAAGGTGGAGTTCCATGTCCATGTTGGAGACGTTCAAGAGGTGACATCTTCATATGAGACTGATACCAACCCTCGGCCTCTTTGAGAAGGGTCTTCCACCAGGTTTCAGCAGTTGCAGTCAAATCTGAAACCACCGGTTCGATGAGCAGCAGCCAATCGCTCAATTGAAGTGGCGATTGATTCGACGACCAAGCAGGCAAAGGAGGTAATTCTTGAGCACCAGATCGAACTACCTCAATCCCTCTGATTGATCCTCCTTCTTCTCGGTCTTCTTGATACTTGCGCTGCAGCTCTTTCATATTTTCCATCATCAGACACATAAACTCAAGTGACTTTTCTGTAAATCCAGCAGCTCCTGTCTCGGCTGATGGACGTTCTCCTCCTGGTTGTTGTGCTTCGCCAGACATTCCTTCAGGGGGTCTAGCGGCCTCCTTTGGTGCACTTGCTGGGGGTCTTGCAGCCTCCTTCTGAACACTTTCTGGGGGTCTTGCAGCCTCCTTCTGAGCGCTTTCTGGGGGTCTTGCAGCCTCCTTCTGAACGCTTTCTGGGGGTCTTGCAGCCTCCTTCAGAACGCTTTCTGGGGGTCTTGCAGCCTCCTTTGAACCATCACTTCCATTTGGCGTGGAAAAAGACAAATCAACTTCGGGAACAGCAAACCCTGTTTCCAACGCATGAATCCTGTGTTTCAATTCCTCATTCTGATTTATCAATTCCTTCATATATGCCCTCATGGTGGACATCTCATGAGATTCAGCCGACATTCTGGCTTCTTCGGCTTCCAAAAACGAAGGTCTCCTAAAAGCTGGAAAAAAGGACCGGGCTGGTTGATCTCCGTACAACCATGGTGTCCTACTCTGCAGCATGACCATGTCTCTAACTTGCTCTTCGGTGAACAAAGGTGTGTGCATGACATCCGGAGTGGCTGATCCCTGATTTGGAACCCCGGCTGAGTTTTGAAGCGGGGTCATCTCCTCCACTTTCTTGTTCATGTCAACTACTCCAGGTGTCATTGCCATCGCGGTAAGACCAGCAGAAGACTTCTCACTTCGTTCTTTCTGAGGATTCGCGCTCCTAGGCTGAGCAGCGAGAGAGGATGCTGACTCACTTCGTTCTTTCTGAGGATTCGCGCTCCTAGGCTGAGCAGCGAGAGAGGATGCTGACTCACTTCGTTCTTTCTGAGGATTCGCGCTCCTAGGCTGAGCAGCGAGAGAGGATGCTGACCCTGGCTCGGCGGGTGTGATGGCGGCAGGGGAAGTTCGTGGTGGCAAAGGACTGGTCTTACCTTCCTCATCTCTTTCTTTTGTTGGGAGACTTTTTGGGGCACCTTCCAGCTTCACCTTCTCTACTTCCTCTACCTTTCCATCACCTTGAACATCTTCTAAGGGCAGTTCACCTCCTTCATTCGCCTCTTTCTCAAACCTTTCTTGTGCTAACCTCATCTCTTCTTGACCTTGTTGCATCTCTTTCGGAGTCGCTTTTCTTCTCATCTGAACTTGCATGGTTCGCCCTTGGGCTCATAACCTGCTTTGCGCAGGTCTCCTCTGTTTCCGTTTCCCTCGCACCTTGCAAAGTTTCCGTTTCCCTCGCACCTTGCAACTTTTCCTTCTCGGGGTTGTGCTCGGCTTGAGTTAGAAAAAGCAGCTACAGAAAATCGGCAAATGTGAAATCTGCAGCAAGTCAAAATGCCTGACAGGTATGCATTCTGCAATATCAATCCCCAGCTTTTTGTCTCTTGGGACAAGCCCGCAGAACTTCAGCCTGGGCGCGGTTGCGCCACAACCTCCTGTCGCCTTGCCACCTGAGATTCTTCCAGCGCGCTTCCCAAGCAATTGATTCAATCAACAATGTTGGGATGATTTTACCACCATTAGTTATTGTAATAATGAGGTAGTCATCCATGGTTCCATTAGAATCCCATTAGATAGTGAGTTGTTATGATTTAGTTAGGTAATCATCCATGGTTTCCAGAAGAATCCAATGGTTCATAAGTGGTAAATAAGGGATCTACTGGGGATATTCATAGGGGTTGATACCCTCTGGTGCCCTCTCCACTGGGAAATCCCTGAGCCCTAAGTGGAGGGATTTTCCCAGCAAGCCATGGTTGATTGCCAGAGGTTAAGGCCCCTAACCAACAGATCTTAGTCATTTATTGTATGTAATATGTACCATCCACTTTTTGGAAAACCAAGTTGGACTCCAATTTGAGCCGTCAGGTAGTGTGGCATCGAAATCTATGGCTCAATGAATTAGTGGAAGAGGACATGTAGAAGAAACCATGTGTTTCGAATTCTTGACAGAAGGTATTCTGCTGATGTCTTTTTAAACCACTAGTGGAAGCAAACCCACCGTGGCTAGCAAGGGTTGAAGTAGCCACTCTGAAAATCTACGGGATTCACCGTTTCAATGGGAATTACGATGACTAAAACCATGAAAAATTGGTGCTACGTACCCTGTTATCCTCTACAAAACCATGTTCTCAGCTTTCCAGCCTATGTTTCAAAACATCGGCTAGCTGCAAAATGCCAAATTGTGACATGGAGCTTGAAACATCTATTAGTGACTTCATATGACTACTGTGCCTGTAGATTAAACCATGAAACCCTCAAAAAATCATGGCTGGGGTCAATTTTCATGATTTTACTCCTGAAAAGATGAGCCTTTCTTGAATTCCAAATGAAACATCCACCAGTGCCGCGTTCCACCTGTCTGGGGGAGGCTGTCCGAGTGCCACCTGACCGACAATCCAGTGATCGTTTTTTGTGATCGCTAAGTTGGAAGGTAACGAATCGGTTTCTGGTAGATATCTATAGTTAGATGTGGTTACAACTTACAACTGGGGAACCACCTTTTTGGGCTAGGATAATTTTCTTATCAATAGATCAATCAAACCTGGTACCCCCACGTTTTGGGTGGAAAAAAGGGGGTTATCAATACCATGTTCTATGGTGACGAAGAAGTTATATCTCAATGTCCCACCCATGTCCTAAGGTTCTCAGTGATCAGTTATCAGTGAAAAAACACTTACAGTGGGATTGTCCATCCCCGTTTTCAAGGGTCGATGATAGATTTTATAAGATTGGGTTTATCAATATCCTAGTGGGGCCACCACTATGGAGTTCAAGAAGCTACCCCAGTACCGAGGTCCCAAAATGGTGGAAGGCTTCCTCTGCAACAAGAATGGCCATGAACAACAGATATTCCACGTATCGAGTCGCAAAGAGATGATGGACTGCACAGGTGCAACTGACCATTTTCGGGGCGTCAAGTCAAATGACAGGGATTCAAGATGATTCAAGCAACCAGTTTTGGGTCCTTGGTTGGCACCAGCAGCTTATTCATTTCCTCTTCAAGGCATGTTGTTCCTGGAGAGCATTTCCGCAATGCCAGGGCTGTTGAAAAGCAGTGGCTTAGAAGCTCTCCTGGACTACAAGAGCAAGAATTTGTGGCCTTGCATCAAACCAGCTCCCCAGGTAAGTCACCCCTGTTTTGACTTGGATATGTCAATATTTCTGGATAATCATCCTCAATGTTAGGGTTTACCAGGCAAGTTTGTTGAAAAGATGTTCTTGTTTTCTTCGTTCGTAGTTCCTTTTTGTCTGAAACTACTTACACACATGTCCATTGGTTCACATCCTCATCTTCAGAGTTGAATATTGCCCAGTCAGCATCCCCATTTCATGGTTTCTATCAGTTCCTCCATTCTAACCACAATTTGAAAATGTCGAGCGTGTCAAACCCAGAATTGGGTTTGACGGAAAAATCGCAATGGGAAACCAGGAAACCCTGTGCTCAACTCATTTCATGTTTGAGAAAAAAAACTGTTGGTTTCCTGAATTGAAAAGACAATTAACCATTATTAACCATTATTAACCATGGAAATCCCATTAAAATCCCATTAACCATCATTAACCATCATTATTAACATGGTTTCAGCGTTTCTGCAGATTTTGCGTTGAAAAAAAAAACGAAAGCGACTCGTCGCGCCTCCATTGGCCGCGGGGTTGATGGAGGCCGTCACCTCCAAGAGGTCCTAAGTGCGGAAAACCCGACCAACAAACACATACACATATTATGTATATTATAATATTTCACTAACCTGAATTAAGGCCATTTGGGGATGATTCCCCTTACTAACCATGATTCCCAGTGAGGTCGCAGTGAGGTCGTTATAATTTACCCAGATATATGTATGTATATATACATACATGCGTAGATGTGTACATTGTATACATGTTATGTGTTGTATGTATTCTACATCTTGTACATATGCAACTCTGCTTATATACAGCAACTACACAAAAGATGTTCAACGGTTGGAACCTACACAAAACAAACAACAGCCAGGCAAAGCCCCTGTCGTTACGCAGACAATCCACAAAAACGATGGAGTCTCAACCTTAATGGTAACCTTGCCAGCTCCTTAGTTACGGACAAAATGTTGTTGCGGTGTTCCTTATGTTGATGGTGTCAGTGCAACTCGAGCAATGCAGACTCCTAAACCAGAGGTATTTTGGTCATTGCTACTATTCAGGCGTCATTATTCAAAAATCTTGTAGCTGCATCCAATTTCATTAACTGTTGTCCAGCCGTGTCGGAATGTCAACATTAACAGTGTGTCAATATTGGTAGAAAATCCAGGATGCTACCACAAGAATGCGCTCCACTTTTCGTCACAAGATCACACATCACGCCAAGCTGAATGACTAGGTATATGTTTCGACAGTATTGAATGGACACCCAACCATGGCCACATTTAACTATATTCAGGTTCCAGGTTTGGTGTGTAATGTGTATCATCGTGTGTCAAGCAGCTGTTGACGATCACCCAATGGATCCAAAGGTTGACCACACTTTTCCCCATTCAGATTGCTATAGTTTCTGGTATCATTGCTCGACAAACCCAATTATCATATTGTTGCTTGTATGTTCCATTGTATCCCCATTGTATCCCGATGGTATTCCCATTGTTCGAATCCCCATGAATTTCCTCGTTGAATCCCAATTTGTCCTAGTGAAACGATATCAAGTCCCCCGTATATCGCCGGTATATCCTCATGTTTGCCAACCTCCAAACTCCGATTTGCCTCCAAACTCCACTGTTTCTGGCTGGTCGTCCATCCCCATAGGCCTTAAGTTTCACAAGTTTCCCAGACCTCTGACATTTCAGCAACAAAAATCAAGGGCTTCACACTGCGAGTGTTTGAGGGTGCTTGGGACCTTATAGGGGAATTTGATAAATGAATGAATTAACAAATAAACTACATAAATGTGTGTATATAATTATATATATATACACATTATTATACCGAGTTCAGCACACATACGCTTCATCATATTGGACTATAGAGGTATTTAAGAACCGTATCTCTCTATTTGTATTGCATATGATACTTCCATAGGTTTCTTGATTTAAGAAGAGAAACAAAACATGCATATACTATCTAGACATACACTAACAACAAGTTGGGATGTCACTCAAAGCAGCAATTTGCGCAAATAGCCGAGAAAGAACTGTGCGATTTCACAACCAATAATAGATAAGCTTTGGATAATGGGTGATTTGTAATCGTATTGCAGAAAGATTAGTGTGAGCATAGAACCAGGAACAGCTTTCGATCACATGGCAACTTCAAAAGAAACATTATTCAACGACTGAGGACGCTTGTAGCATACCCTGCAGTTGGAGAGCCCATCCGATCCTTGCCTGCAATGTTGTGAATATCACCAGTTTCGGGTGCATAGCTACCAATTTTATCTTGGTGAGGTTCTATCATGTTCCCTTCTATCCTTCTTCTCAATTTTGCTGGATAACACCTCGAATTGGCCGGTGGTTGAAACTTTGGAAGCTGCAAGACTCTTTTTCGCTTCGCGGAGCTTCCAAACTTCCATAAAGCCAACAAAGATGGAGCATAGTCCAATTTTTTTTCAGGAATTTGGTGGGTTTTTGAGAGACTCACATGAAACCCCAAAAGATCAGTTTATGCCCAACATGACTTTCTGAGTCGCTGAACCGCCCACCCCGATATGCTTCCGCTGAGCAACAGGTAACTCCGATGCGGCAAGCGCAGCGGGCAGCCTGGTGAACCGGATGATTCCAGTCATCCTTCAGGTTTGTCCAGGAATACCCTCTGGTAAACAAACAGTTTGCTATTGAAAAAAGTTTGCTATTGAAAATTGCCATAGAAATAGTTGATTTACCCAGCTACATAGCATGGTGATTTTCCAGTTCGTTATGGGACAGTTTACCAGGCCGGGTAGGACCTGCAAAATGTTTGGTGGTTGATCATAATTTGCTATAGCCCATGATCTTCGCAAGCCCATGACGCCTCCTTCCCGGATCTTGGGAGCATGGCATGTGGTAAGGCATCAGGATACACCAATTTTCCCACTTGGGGGCGTTATAAGCCTTTAAAGTTTTAAAGAAAAAGACGCAGGGATTTATCATTGAGTCTACCACACTGGGTCAATCCATCTACATCCGTTGACCAACTCTAGCCAC